AGTTGGAAAACCAGTGAGAGCTGCAAATATGAATGCTTCTGATACTTTTGGAAGCCTCAACATTTGGCAGCCAGGTACTGGCTTGTGAGGTTGCAACTTCAACTGTAGTTCATGCTAAAATACTTTTTTTTTTTTTTGGTACATATTTTAGTTAAGAACCTCTACCAAATTTTGCTTTTCTAGACTATTCCCTAGCCTTTATTCAATCTTCAGTGAGTAAGCCTCTAATGCTTTCTTGGAAAATTTAAGTTGAATGGACTTGTATCTATATTTGAACTATACTACTTGGTGTTTTGCATTCTGATGTTTGATATTTTTGCACAAAATTGAAAGCTAGAGATCAAAAGGTTGATATAAGAAAGCTCAAGTAAGATGTTTTCATTTCATAGCTGGCAGAGGTTTATGTACGTCGGCAGCTTATACACCAGTTTTATTCGGATTAGATTCACTCTCTGGGTGCATTCTAGAAGTTGGTATTAATGAAGATTGCGGCCTTTTGAGGTGAGCTACGTAGGTTGACTTGTTTTTCCCTGCATTCCTCTTGTTGCTGATTACATGATTCTCTACAAGTGCCTACTATCAGCACTGTTACATTCTTTTTAAATGTTCATGTATGCATTTCAGCTTTCTGTGGTTGATAGTCTCCCTTTTTTTTAAAAGGGAAATTATAATAATAGTTTGACTCAGATCTCCCTGTATTCAAATGAGGATTATGTTAGGGTGGGATGCTTTGCCATTTCTTCCCTTGAACAGATAGTTCAATAGTTCAAGTCTAGTTTTGTTGAGTGATAACATCTTTCGGAGGAAACTGACCTTAGGATATAATAATATTACTACAACCCAGAGTGGTAGACAGTACAGATTTACTTTTTGTGTAATCTTACATTCTTATTTTGCAGAGGAAAGGTAACTGAGAAATTGAATTCATTAATACAAGCTACTCACATCGGAAAGAGGGACAATTCAAGTTACAGTGATCTAAATGACTGGGTGGAAATTATACGTAAGTGAGGTTTGTGTTGTTGTTTATAGTCTAAATATGCCCATACGATGAATAGAGCATCTCAAAATAAAACCAAAATGTAATTTCAAATGCCTAAAGATACTGATCTGTGCCTGGATCCATCCATCCGTATATGTGTACAGACGTGCATATAACTCAATATGTATACGGACACTGCACTACCATGTATTTTACTGTCAGCCTGTAAACATATGACTTGGTATTTTAGTTCTCTGTTGATAAAGTACTCCTTTTCTTTATGTGTATTTTATATAGAGAAAACATGTTTTTCTGTGTCCCTGTGCGACAGTTACTGGTACTTCACTGGACGGGGCTCTGAGCAACCTGATCTAGTTGAAGATGTCCCTGCTCATTGCAGGGGGGGTGGACTAGATGATCTTTGGAGGTCCCTACCAACCCAAACTATTCTATGATTTAAATAACTCTGTTCTCCTCCATAGGTCTTGATCCATTTAATTCTGATACCAATGTGAGCAGTGGAAACTTAAAAGGCATTTGTCTAGATATTCCTGCAAATCTGAATATTCGCATAATCTTTGCTGATGTGGGTGCAGTACAAGGGATTCCCCAGCAAGAGATTCTTGCTGTGCAGATCAGGTAGAGAGTTTTGTGTCTCTGGCTATCTGACAAATAAATGTTTCATTTTGAGACTTGCTTACCTAACATGTGCAGATTAAATTTTACAAACAAAAATGTTGTTTTGTTATTTCTAATTTTTTACATGCCTTTTATTTGTATTTGCAGCCCAAATTCCTTTGATCACAACTGGGTTTGCCTTTCTCCCTCTGAAATAAATATAATAATAATAAAAAAATAATGGTCAACAGTAGACAGTCTTTCTACTTCACTGAAATATTAAATAAAATCTATGATGCTGCCAGTAGTAGGCATATGCAGGGCATTCTATCAGAAGAACGTTTTAATTTCTTGTCACGTGGTGGAAGTGACAACATTGTCCTGTGTTCTGACTTACCCCAATGTAGAGCTCTTCTTGAGAGCTGTGGTAAATGCTTTATTGTTTCCTGAAACAGGGAATTTTCACTTTGCAAATGCTTTTTTTTCCCCCAAGTCAATCCCAATCAAATAAATGGGATTCTGTTCCACTTTATCTCATTTCCAGGCTTTGCAAGTTCTCTCCCTGCATGGTGTTGAAAATCCAGAGATCATCAACCACCTCCTAAATACTGCGTATTTTGTCCTTTGATGGTTATGTTTAGGCTCTAAAATTCCATTTACAGCCCTCAAGTAATAGTTATGCATATTCTTACAGTTACTCAACAGTAATATGGCAATTCCAGTGCGGGCTTACCTGTGAAAACAGCATCAGCTTTCTTCCCATCACTGCTTCTGTTCAGTTTATTAAAGTGCCAGCTCAGCCACCCATTCCAATGACAAGGTAATTTTTGTAAAAACACCGATACTTGACGTTACGTTAAGCAGATGTAATGTGAATAGCGTTGATCAAAAGGTTACTTTGGTTTGGTGGAGTACAGAGCAATAAGGCCTGGTTCAAGGATTTCATGAGTAACATGAAAGGCTGTAAATTACGCTGCAAAGTTGTCATTTGGTTTTAGCAGAAAAGCTTCTGTGTTTACTTGAGTGGATAAGGGGTTCTGTGTGAGGCTCCCAAACTATCCGTTGTCTGAAAATGTTCATCACAAAAAGAAACAGCTGACTAAAAATGACAGAAGTGGAGTAGAGGGGAGGCTCCTGTTTCCATTAGAGAAAAAAGTCGTAAGAGAATAACGAGTCGCTTGTGGTTTAGTTTTGTTTTTTCCTGTAATCTGGACACCTTTTCACTCTGTTTTTTCCACTTTTGCTGGTGTTCTGGTACTGTAGATAATAAACCTGTTTGGTTTTTTCCTTCAGATTTCAGATTAATTATACAGAATTTGACTGCAATCGAAATGATGTGTGCTGGCCACAACTTCTTTATCCATTGACACGGTTTTACACAGGTAAAAATAATAAGCGGTGTGGAATGCTGTGAACCGGCCATATTTCTTCGAAACGTAATTAGATGTGTGGAGTTTAGTCTGAAAGGATGCTTTGCAGTAGGGAATTAAAATTTCTCTTTTAGAAAGCATGGTCCAAAAAGTCTGTTTAATTTTTTCCTTGATAATGCATTGATTTTTTTAGTTAGAATAGTGGAAAAAATAATTACTTGGGAGTACTTTGTGGATAAGATTGAAATTTTGTGAGTATCTGTTTGGCAGAGAGAGATTCTTTTTCACTCCCCTGTAGAGTTTGGAGGGAGGAGAATGTATCACTTCATGGTACTGTTCCGTTTCCATTTCCTACTGTAATTGTAGCATTGTCAGTGTGTGTCATTGCCCTTGAAGGGTGGAGGGAGACTTTTGTTTCTCACTTTGCCAGTATGTGTTTTTCAGTCAGCCCACGAGTTCCAGTAAAAATTTGCCATATTGGTAAGACAATTAATATTTAAATTTCCTCTGTGTAAAACTGTGGTGGATTATGTTTCCTGGGAGGCTCCGTAGATGAAACATCTGGCATTTCAAAGGGCACCTGGACTCTGTTCTGAGAGCTGCATGGACAGAGGCAACTGCCCGTGTTTATTATCTGCACAACTTCAGGGACTAAAGTTATACAAAGTATGAAGCTTTATAAGTATGAAGCATCTTAATTCCTTGCTTTGTGCTCCATTGTTTTATTCAGACTATGCACGTACTTTAATCTGTATCTTTTGGGTTGTTGTCTAAACTGAAATTTAGCTCTCGTATGCTTACACTTTTTTCTCTCTTTTTTTTTTTTTCCAGGAGAACCATATTCCCAGTGTCTTGCTAAAGGCCTGTCATTGGCATTTCTTGTCTTACTTGCAGCAATTATGAGTAACCCTTGGTTTTCTAAATTATGGAATAGTTCTTTGGTTTAAAAATGTTGATGTAAAGAGAACCGCTTTTGTTAATATTTTAAGTACTTTTGGGTAATATTTATGGATAAACTAGACATTTTGTATAAACATTTAAAGATACATAAAATGCATACTCTTACGGTATCCAGAAAATGGCTGCGTTATTTAAAAAAAAAAAAAAGTAATAGAATTATTTTTAAGTGCTAGACTCTGCATTCGGAGCAGAGTTGGCTTCAGCGGGGTGAGCGCTGCATGAGTCCAGCCCCGCGTCCCCCTGCAGGGTCAGGGCCATCCTCATGGATGGACCTTTGTCCTGTCAAGCTTGTTCTCCCCTCCTGGCGTAGCGGGTCAAGGCGGCGGTTCCTTTCCACAGCAAACCCGTCACGCCCACCTGTTTTGGGAGCAGTGGACAGATTATTCGCTCTTCTGAAAAGTAACAGCGCTTCAGATGCTGTCATGTACTGATCTGCAATTCTCTTTCCCAGCTAACGCTTTTGCATTGGCAACCTGTATCTGGTCTGGGCGACGCAGGGTACAGAAAACACCGACTACTGATTTTCTTCAAATGACCAAACGCGATGTTCGGTTTGGGACTGGCCTGTGGTTCGGGTCTCACGGTTATCTCAGCGATGTGTTTCCTCCGTTACATCTTTTCACGTGGAAGCCCTTCACGCGGTGAATCCGTGACCGCCGGGGCGCTGTTTTCCATCCCATTTTTCGGCGTTCGCGGCGAGGGGGCTATCCCGAAGGACCCG